ATAATCAATTAAAAAGTGAATTTTGAATTTTTCGTTAGTTACGGCTTTTTGTATTGACGACGATGTGAGTGAAGCCCTTTCCATACCATTCTAACGATATATTACATGCCAAGCAGGGTTGCCACTGACGAAAAAAACTTACCATCCACTTGAAAAAACTACCAAATCTGGAAAATATTTACCAATATCTTTTTTAATTAATTTTATATAAAATATAGAAAGTGATGAAACTGAAGGCAACAACGAAACTTCATCATTTGAAAAAAACTTCAACTGGAGTTATTATAGACAAATACAGTGACTAAAAAAACCGCTTGTTGTTTTTTTTTTAATACTCACAATGTGCTTCAAGTAAAACTCTTTTTGCTTTTTTTTGTAAAAGAGTATTGTTTGAAGCTATTTACAACGTTTAGAAAAATTCAAAAAAAATCCGTTTAAATATTGAACTTTTTACTACGAATTTTTAGAACAATTTTGGGTATGCAGTTTTATAGTCCATGGAATTTTCGTATAACCAACAATATGCAGCCAAAAATTCCCATTTAATTAAAAAAAAAAATTTCCCACTGCTCTTTTGTTTTTTTTTTATTTACCAATTGCCATTTAAGTTAATGCCAGATAAAACCTTGTGGCTTTGCGTGACATTTATAACTTTACCAGCAAAGCGCCAGACGCAAAATGTATGCCACAATGAAAGCTAAGAAAACAATTTTGTACTGCTTTTTCACTCGTCAAAATTGCTGTGGATTTTATATATTTAGATTTAAAAATATCAGCAATGTAATTAAATATGTTTCTGCATCCAATCTCCAATCCGGGCGAAACCAAATAAATATTAAATCAGCTGATTGTCAACGCGCGCAAACAGCTGGGAGTTGGCCATCTTTTCGCTTCGCGCTGCAGCTGAAACGATCTATGTGGTATGCCTTGTGCATTTTCATACACTTCATCCTATCTGGTAAAGCGAATCTCTCACACAAAGCGAGGCAAGCGTTTTATCTGGCATCAGCTTTATAAAAACTGGCTTTGACTTTTTTATTTATTTTTTGCGAACAATCATAGTGTGTAATTCAATACCTGCCCATTTTTTCTTTTTATTTAAATAATCAAAAGCCCCTCAGGATTCCAGTCAGGGATGATAAATGAAGTTTACGAAATTGTACCAAACGTCAGAAAAAAATGTACCAAATCTAATAAAAATGTACGAACAAAAAATTTGAAACGCTTTCACAAAAACAATAAATGCTTAAAAGAAATATACATTTATTTAACGCCTTTTAATTAAACATCTTGTAAAAATATACATATATGGGTATTTTAATACGTCGCATACGTGACAGTCGTACGTTTCAATGTGATACAAACAAGGAATACCATTTGTTTTCTTTAACTTTTTTGGGCCATTGTATAGCATGTAATTAGCTCTATATTTAACCGAAAAATTAAAACAATCGAACTGCTTGGTCCTGAAATATAAGCATTTAAAGAGAGCGTCGTTACGTGACAAAAAATGGAAGTAGATTTTTTCATTTCTTATAAAATCGCAAAACTCTGCGAATTGTGGATGGCTATTTTCATGAAACTTATTTTAATATGATTTGGAGCAATTCTAGTTGTTTTTAGGTTTTTTGAATTAATGGTGACGTAGCGTCACGTGACATAAATTTCCATTGTTATATTTTTGTTAATATTGCTTTTAAATTAATTTTTAACGCAAATAAAACATGTACTTTATGTAGAATATACTTCATATTTTGACTTCAGCGCCTATTCAGGGTGAATTTGTTGGAAATCTATGACTTATTATGTTTCAACTACATACGCCAAATTCGAACCAAATCGGACCATAAATACGGTTTTTCGAAATATCTCAACCTTGGCGCCACACAGTGCCGCGAAGGTGGACAAAAATACAAAAATCGACTGTCTTGAAACTTAGATGTTTTGATGTCAAGTTACAGCTAAATCTCCAACTAAGAGAAGTTCATAAGTTATTTTGTGATAAAAACAACTTTCAGCCTCACACACCCCCTCAAAGTACACCTCTTTTCTACATACCATTTCATTTCGGCGATTCGCACATAAAAGTGGTCGCAGTTAAAAATTTGTTAAAAATACATTTTTATTCCTAGCAAGATCAACTTTTGCACTTTGATAAAGATATATGCGACAAACCAAAAAATGTATGGTTCATGGAAAAAAATTTTTACAAATATTTTTTTTTTATTAATAAATAAATATATGATTAAACATACCAAAATCTGAAAATTGGTAAACTTTGGAGACAAAAAAAAAAGAACATCCTGAAAGTTCGTGAAATTTTTTTTTTGGTTATGGTAGTTTGGACCCTCTACTAACAGAAACAATCGAAATCTCTTCCAACTTTTTCCAATATTTGAAAATTTTCAATTTTGAA